TATGTTTGAAGCCTGAAATGTGGCAAAAGGTCGCAAAGTTCAAGGGGGCCGAATACTTTCGCAAGGCACTGTATGTATGGCCTTCACCAAGCATGTGTAATCATAACTACATGGTTGGACCCTGAACAAAATGTCCCAAAAAGTAAGGGTGAACCTCTAATATTACCTCTTTCCTGACTGTTAGCTCACCATCCAGCTGTCTAAACTTGCCCAGACCCAAAATCACCCAAGCATTCTCCCTAACCTAGCTTACACAAACAAATTCTTAGGCAGGGACAAAATGCTCATAAGTGTAAAACAATAGGCTTGATACAAACTCAATGGATACACAACATTATAAGATACTACACAATGTATATGTACAGTAAAAAAAATGATTGGGGGGGGGGCGTGTATAACCCATGCAAATAATTGAAAATTGACATAAGTATATTCACAGATTCAAGTATTCAAGATTTTTTATTTGCCATTTATGCATAAACAGACAGTCTAGGCATATAGGAATTCTTGTGCAGCTCTCCTTTGGAGTCAGGTAAGGAGTCAAAAGCCAGAAAGAACACTTACTCTTAAAATGTAAAAAAGTTGCATAAGGGTGACAAAGTATTAAAACGCAATACACAAAAATAGGGTAATGGTATTTCCCACAGTGAACTTCAAACATCACACTTAGTAATTCACATGGTGGAGTTGGATATGTCATTACGCTGGGTGATGTAGTGAGGGGCTATTGCACATGTCTAGTAAGGGGTTATTGCACATACTGTGAAGGAAAAATTCATGTTTACCTGTACTAAGATGAACAACCTTTAGTGAGTGTGAAATAAAGAGACCTGAGATAGATATGTCCTTTATTTCTTGCAAGAAATAGGAGTGGTCTACAACAGCACTCAGAGAGGTCTGTTAGAGAGGCTCCCCAAACAGAGGCAACTTAGTCACATATATATGAGCTTTACACAGGGTTTGGAAGCATCAAAAGAAAGGAATGTGGACTGACAACTTTCATGCACATGTGCTTCTCGTTAGACAGAGGTCCTCATCCTGGCACAGAAAGATATTTTAATAAGGGAGTATGTCTGTCAAGGACAGGTTGCGCTACATCTTGTTGCCGTGCAGAAAATCTTAAAGTTCATACATTCAGTGTGACAAGGTTCAACTCATTCTGATGCATACTAAGTTACAGTTTAATGCATAAAGGGTAAAACCAAAAATTGCTTCCACAATACTCACATTTTCGTATTTGCCATCAGTCTTACTGTGGCAGGGAAAAAGTTGTTGTAAAGTCTTGTTCTGTGTTTGATGATACTGTCTGCTCTGCTGTGCCTGAGGCTGTAGGTGCAGTTTTTGTGTCTGCACAGAGTT